GGGGGGAGGAAAAGCATCCTTTAGAAAACGAGCCAGCCCGGCTTGGGACTTTGCAGTCTCGTCCCTGAGTGCGGAGTCAGGACCCGCGACCATCCCCCTCACCCCCGGTTAAAGCCGCAAGGGGAGGCAGGGAAAGCCCCGGAGCAGCATCCCGGTTTTGCGGGTGATGGCTGAGCTGCCCCCGTCCCCTGTCTGGCTGCTTCATTAGTGGCAAACGTAATGAGAGGCAGCAAGGAGACAGCCCGTCTGGGAGCCTCTGCTCCCCAGCGCTGGAGGCACTTGGAGAACTGGAAAGGACTGGGACGGCTCTTGGAGTTAATGGCTACTTTGTCCCCGTTGACTATCTGGCTGGTCCAATCTTTCTGGCAGGGCGACATTGGCACTGCAGCCCTCACCCGTCTGCACCCATCCCGTTAGTACAGCTGGGGAAACTGAGGCACGGGGTGGTTATGTGAGCTGCCCCGGGGCGTGCGGGCAGGCTGGCGGAGAAGCCGGGCCAGGGAGCGGTTGCTCTGACCGGGGTCTTGCTGTCCTCCCCCGGGCAGGGGGGGTCCAGGCATCCCTGCAGTCTGGGGGGAGAAGGTGGGAAGGAAAAGCAGCTGTGGGGGTGAGAGGTGGAGGGAGGGCTCCCTCTGCCCAAAGCAGCTCCTTTTACTGCGTGCCCAAAGTTACCGTGCCCATTTATTAGCGTACCCAAAGCAGGGATCACTGCTGTCCTGCTCGACAGCGAGGAAAATAAAGAGAGAAACATGTTTCTGCCATGCAAAGGGGCAGCAGGCGGGGGGGATGGCCGGGGACAGCGGGAGGCTGCAGCACCCACCGCACTGCAGGGAGGAGGGTCCCTTCTCCCCACCCTCCGGTTCATGCCGCCTCTCCCCGTTTGGCAGGACAGCTTGGTTTACCTGCTGAACCGCGAGCAGCACACTGTGGGCCAGAGGACGCAGGCGAGCAAGCCCAGCATCAGCCTGTCGGCCCCCGACATCTTGCCCCTGCACTGCACCATCAGGAAGCTCCGACCTTCCCGGCATCGCTCAGAGGAGAAGCTGGTGCTGGAGCCCATCGCAGGTGCCGGCATCTCCGTCAACTTCGCCAAGGTGGCCCGGACGGTCGTGCTGCGGCACGGGGACCTCCTCTCCCTCGGTCTCTACTACCTGCTCCTCTACAAGGACCCCATGAAAGCCCAGCCGCTGCCGGCACAGACCCTGCTGAGGCTGCGAGCCCTGCACCCCGCCGTCCCCGAGGGTCCCCCCGTCTGCAGGGCGTGTGGCAGCCTGCTGAAGGAGAGGGACCCCGTCACCAAAAAACGGGGTCCCTCACCTGCCGGCGGCCCCAGGGTACCCCGCAGAAAGCTGCTGCTGGAGTTCGAGCCGGCAGCCGAGGACGTGCTCCTTCGGCGCATCATGACCCTGATCGAGCCGGGGGGGGACGACCACAAGCTGACACCCGCCTTCCTGCTCTGCCTCTGCATCCAGCACTCAGCCACCAGCTTCGAGCCGGGTGACTTCGGGCAGCTGCTGCTCAAAGCGGCCAAAATGATCCAGCGGACGGTGTGGGTCAGTCGGCGGTGGGACAGGGGTGTTGGTGGGGTGGGGGTGTTGCTGGACCCCCCCCAGGGGCTTCCCCCAGCCCGGCCCCCAGCAGCAGCGAGTGCTGATCGGGATGATGCTCGTGCCGCCCCGGCCCGCTGGTTTTCATTTTGCTTTCCCCTTCTTTCCCTGCCCAGGAGCGGACACGGGAGCTGGCTGAGAAGCAGTCCCAGCAGTAAGTGCAACCCGCTGCCCCTCCTTGTTTTGCCCTGAAAGGGGGAGAATTCAACTCGGTTCTTCCTCCCTGAGTGAGAGGAGTCTGTGTCTGGCTAAAACCAGCCTCCCAGCCTGGCAGCACCAGTGCACGCTGAGTTTTCCTGCTCAATCCCACTCATTCAGCTCTCTGGTCCTTTCACCACGGTGCTTGCAAGGCCCCTGGCTTGGGAATGTGTGGGGCTGGAAAAGCAGGTGAACTCAAGGGAGAATAGGACCTGCGGCAGCTCTGGGGTCTTCTCCAATCCAAGACCTGGCCAAGGCTTTGCACGTGGCTTCAGCATCCCTGAGGGATGTGGTGGGGATGGCCCCGGCGCGGGGTTTCACCCCGTTCACACTGGAGACCCCTCTGTGGTGCAGGGAAGGGGCTGGCATTGCATGTGTATATACAGGGATGGTGTCCCAGGGTGGGGAGCACCACTTTGGAGCTATCACAGCAGTGCCAGGGACTGGCTCCCCAGCCATTTCCAAAATCCAGGCTCCAAAGCAGCATCTGGAGAAACCGTTGGTTCTTGCTGTGAGCTCTCCTTTAGGACAAGCTCCGAGGATGCTTCCCAGGCCTTTTCTATAGCAGGAAAAAGCAGTTCAGCAGTTGAGAAACTTGCCAGATGCTTTTTATTTATTTTGTTTTATTTTTGAACAGCCCAGTGCAGGCGGGCTGGGTTTAACCGTCCAGAGCTGGCAGGAACAGCACATACTTCTCGGGGAGAGCTGTTTTTCAGCCATGAGTGTTTACTGCAATTCAGCTGTATTAGGGGGAGTCTCCCCCAAAAGTGGGACCCCACAAAGACCAGGTGGCTCTCCGCCAGCCCAGTCCCTGCAGGGTCCCCTTTGCCATTCCGCAGAGCAGGAACCACCAGATTTTGGTTGTAAAGGGTCTTCCTAAGGGAGGTGCTGGGCATGGGGGTGAGGGATGGAAAAGCTCTTCAGCTGTCCAGCATTGCCCCAGGCTGGCCGTTTTCTCCCCAAAAACTTGAGTGGGGATGTTGAGGAGCGGCAGCCGTAACGCCTGCTGTGTCTCCCCAGCCAGGACCCTGCTGCCCTGTCCCACTTCACCATCACGGACCTTCTCCCAGACCTGCAACACATCCTCTTCTGGATGGCCAACGCCATCGAGGTCCTCTACTTCATCCAGCAGAAATCGCCCACCTACATCCAGAGCATGGAGGAGGAGCTGGACGTCAGAGGTAAGGCTGGACGCAGCGTCCTGCTTGCTTCTCCGGCCGGAGCGACTTTGCTCTGCTAATCCCCGGTCGCAAGCGATGGTCAGTGCCCCTCAGATGCTTCTTTAACCCCCCGTAATCCTCATCGGCAGGGATGTCTCCGCGGTGCAGGCTGGGGTAATCTGGGCGGGAGGAGCAGCCTCGCGTCGTGCCGCGGTGCTGCTCGGTTTCAGGACCAGGTTGTGTTGCATTTGCAGCTGAGCCTCCCCTTTCCACCACAGTGGCTTGTGGTTAATGCCTTGGGGGTGGCTTTCTGCCCCCAGCTGCTGTGGGAGCACCTGGATTTGCAGGCAGCCCTGCAGAATTGCTCACTGGTGAGCCTGTGTTAATACCAACAAAAAAAAAAAAAAAGAAAAAAAAAGAAAAAAGGGATTAAATCAATCATCAGCCTCAGAAACCTTCTGCTCTATGCAGCAAGTTAAAATATTCATAGGCCAGGCAGGGTCTTGGAAGGACAGGGCAGAGGCCACCGTGCTGCAGCACTGGGCTGTGCTGCCAGCGGCGTTGTGAGCCGTGGGAGACGGCAAGTGGGCGCTCCGGGATGAGAGGAGCCTCTTTGCCCCTTGGGGGGATGCCAGGGTGGTGATGCCAGCCTGGGAGCACTAATAACGCCCACCCCGGGGATTTGGGGAGCAATGAATTCAGCCTGCCTTGCTGCTGCAGGTTTGCTCCCCCATCCTCCTCTCCATCCCGTAGGCTCCAAGGAGTCTCTGTTCTCCTCGACCATCACAGCCAGCGAGGAGGCGATGACGGTGCTGGAGGAGGTGATCATGTACACCTTCCAGCAGTGCGTCTACTACATCTCCAAGGTACGTGCTCCCCGGGGAGGGCAGCAGTGTCCCACGGGGCCATCAGGAGCATCCCCAGCAGTTCTCGGGCTGCACGGGAGGGTTTTTTTAAGCTTTTACTCTTTGGCAGTTGCATCATGCCGAGGTGTTTTCCTTTGGGCCGAAATGCCCCGATTTTTGGTCGCAGCCCAGGAAAAGTATTGAATTACTGCGGTGTGTTTCCCTGCCTGCAGTGCAGCGGCTTGGGGGAGGCGTTTGGGGAGAGCTGCTTGGCTCCGGCCAGCGCGGCATAATGGTGCGATTCAGGGCGTGATGGAAAGGGGCCCCTGGACCGTCGCCGTTGGACCGCGAGAGCCGGGCAGCATCGGAGCGGGGAACAGAGCGGGCAGTGTGAGGCAGGAGAAAGGCTGCTGTGTGCGGGACGGCCCTGCCTGTCCGCTGGCATCGGCACACGAGGATGCAGGGGTTGCTCCTGCTCCGCTCGGCCGAAGCGGCACCCTCCTCCCCAGGACCCTCCGCCTCCCCCTTAGCCTTGGCAGAGGTGGGTGCTAGGTGCTGCTCTCCCATTTAAGCAATAGGGAAAGGTCATCCTCATCAGGTCACCGTTTTTCTTTCACCCTCGTGCCCAGCTGATCGGCTGCTGCCCTGGTTCAGATCAATTTTCAGATCCTTTTAGCTCAGCCATCCCACGCTGTCACCTCCAACTGCTAAAAGCAACAGACACGTTCATTTTAATTTTTTTCTTTAAACACTTGCGCAACACCGGAGCGCATCGAAGCAGGGGGTAAGCAGGATCAGCCCCTTGCCGGAGCAGTGCCAGTGGGGTTTGCTCAGCTTGTGGAGGTGAGGGGGTCGGAAGGGTTTGGCTCATTGGGAGAAAAAAAAAAAAAAAGAAACAAAATCAGTCTGCTGTGAACTTGCCGCTGTCTCTGCAGTGTCTGTACGTGTCGCTCCCTGCCCTGCTGGAGTGCAACCCCTTCCAGAACGAGTGCCGGGAGAGCTGGCGGACGTCCCCACCGCTGCCCGAGGAGCTCCGCAGGGTCGTGCTCATCTACCAGGCGGCACTGGACCTGCTCCGCCAGTACGAAGTACACCCGGAGATCACCTCCCAGATGTTCGCCTACCTCTTCTTCTTCTCCAACACCCTGCTCTTCAACCAGCTCCTGGATAAGGGTCAGTCCTCCTTGAACACCCAGCCTGAACTGGGTAATCTGTAGGGGACCAGCCCTTTGGGAGACCCTCCAGTCCATCCCAGTGCCATCTTGGGGGCTACAGGAGGGAGGGGGCTTCAAGCAGCTTGAGGAGGGCTGGAGACGGGCAGGTCTCAGCACTGTTATCTCCAGGGTCCCCATTCCCAGGAGGGGTTTAATCCCACGAGTGCCCCATCCTCACCCCTGCAAGAGTGCTGCCCTTCTAGCCTGAGCAGAGGAGGCTGACAGCAGTTCAGAGGGGCAGCTCATTAATAAACTACTGCAGTTTGCTTTGTAACTGAGGTGCTCGTTAGCCCTCATTAACACAGCAGCCTTATCGCCTGCTGTTAGTGCCAGGCAAGGTCCAGCCACCACCCAGAATTACAGCTCTAGGATGCTGGGGACATTAACCTGGATTTATTTTGCTGACCGGGGGCAGCTCTACCCCTGGGGCAGGGGCTGGGCTCCGGCCAAAGGCTGGGGGTCCGGGGGGGGCTGTGTCCCCGACACATGCTGATGGATGCTCTGCCTCCGCAGGCTCCTCTCTCGGCTGTTTCCACTGGTCGCAGGGGGTGAAGCTGCGGGCCAGCGTGCGGCTGCTGCTGGAGTGGCTGCGTGGTGCCGGCTTCGAGCAGCTCGCCCAGCAGTTCTTTGCCAAACTCGCCAGCGTGGCCAACCTGCTGGCCATGCCTGGCTCCCAGCTGGTCCAGGTGAGGGATGCCCGGCCGGGGGCTCGCAGCATCGGGATGGGCACGGGCAGGAGACACCCCGCTCGGCATTTGGGGGATCCTTGCAGTGATACGTCCCTTCTGCAACCTGTCACCAGCTGCCCCTTTCCTGGGGTGGTGGGTCTGTGGGGAGGCAGTACCGAGGAGGGGATGCTCAGGTTCGCTTTGTCTTGCCCAGCCTCTCCCTCCCACCCTCCTCGCGAGCCCTTGCTCCTCGGAGAAAGCGGCTCCTCACCTCGGCCGTTCGCCCCGCGCTCTGTTTCCTCGCTCAGATGACCTGGCCGTCTCTGCGAGCCGAGTTCCCGGCGCTGAGCCCCGCGCAGCTCTACCGGGTGCTGAGCCAGTGCCAGGCGGTAATGGATGTGGGCTGCATCGCAGCATGGCAGCCCGGCGAGGAGGAGAACCCGGCCACCTTCCAGCCCGGTGAGCCCCTGGCTTTGTGCTCAGCGCTGCTCCGGTCACCCACAAGCTCCCTCCAAGGTTTTTATGGGCAAACCAAACAGGCAATTCCCTTCCCCTCCCTGGGGCTCCTGTAGTAACTGCAGCATTCAGGAATAACCACGGCCCCCCAATTCGGATATTGGAAAGGATGCCAAGCGCATTCAGAAGGCCTTGGGGCTCTTTCTGCGTTCCCAAGCAAGGGATGCTGCTGCCTCGCAGCTCACTGTGTCCCTGCTCCCAGCTGGGATGGCCGAGAGCCGGGAGTTGGGGTTCAGCCCGGGCCAGTGCTAGCCTCCCACCTTCCACCTTTCAGATGACATGCTGGAGTCCTTCGACAACCACCCACCCATCGTCCTGCCCAGCGGGGGCTTCAAAGTGGACCTGGAGGTGGAGACGTTGGATGACAACATCTACCGGCACCTCCTTTACATCCGCCACTTTCTCTGGAGCCTGCGGAGCAAGAGCCCCCACGCCAGTGAGGGGCCAGGCTCAGCACCCCCAAAGGTAGCCTGTACCCCACGGAGGGGCTTTTTCTCTCCAGGGTGGGCAGGAGAGTCTTGGGTCCCTCTTGGAGATCCCTCCGAGCCCAGTGCCAAGGGCTTGCTGCCCTCACCTGCGGCCCGGAGCTGTGGCGATGCCCTCACGTAGAGCTGCTGGAAGGATTAGTGCTGCTAATCCCCCAGCATGGGGGCTGCGGGAAGGTGAGCTGGAAGGACAGGCTCGTCCCAGCAATCTTGTTAGTGGGGAGGAGGGAGGAAGGGGGATGTCTGCAGGCAGCGCTCCCCTTCTCCTGGCGTGTTCCCCTGTCCTCCCTGCCCTGCACCCTGCCTGTCCCTAGGTAGCCAGGCGGACTTGCACAAAAGCGCTAATTAGCTAATGCCTATAAAGGGCAGGGGGGGTGAGACGTGCTGCGGGTGCTAAGCTCAGCTGCCATTCATCTCCAGCTCGCCGGGGATGATGATGTCCCTCCAGCAGGTCCCCTTCTGCTCTCCCACCCTGTCCCCATTGACTGCAGGACCCACAGGCACCGCTACCTCCTCCCATCACCCTGGGGCCACATCACCCAGTTCTGGGGCCGCAGGAGGAGCCATGATCCACTGGTGTGTCCCCCTCCGGTGAGATCCCCCAGCAGGGACATGACCAGAGTCCCCTCCTGGCTGGCTGTGAACATCCCCAGCATGGCCCTGGCCACAAAACTGGGGTGTGGGAGCTCTGCTGGGAAGCCCGGACAAGCCCTGGCTGTGTCCAAATTGCCAAGGCTTTGGCTGGAGTCGGCAGCTGTCCTGCCTGCAAAGCAGACAGGGTGGTGGGGTGCAGGTAGGGTGTGAAAAGCAAACGCAAGGGATCCCAAAGAGCATTTTTCTCCTTCTTAAGAAAGAGGCATGCACGACGCCAGATGTCCTGGAGGTGAGCGAAAGCCCAGCTGCTGCCACCCTGGGGAACACCATCACGCAGGAGGACTACTGCTCCCTGGGGGGCTGCGCCGAGCCGGAGGGGAACCCCCCGCTCAGCCTGGCCACCAACGGCTGCCCCTGCGAGCACCCTGCTGGTGAGCCCCAGCTCCAGGAGAAGCTCAAGCAGCTGCAGCTGGGCAGGGGTCCAGCACCCAAGGCTGGCACAGCACCCACGGACCCCTCCTGCCTGCTGACGCCACCCACCACCCCCCTGAACTTCGACTCCGGGAGTCCGGAGTCCCCCCAGGGCACCGGCAAGGGGCTGCAGGACCCCCGGAGGAACGGGATGAATGGCACCAAAGGCAGCACCCCCGAAGGTACCGAAAACTGGTGTTGCCCTGCTTTGGGGGTGCAGGATTGGGGCACGAGGGTGTTTGCTGCCATTCCGCTGCGCAGCCCCTCCCCGCACACGCGGTTCCTGCGGGGACTTGTCAGTGCTTGGACAAGACAGGTGAGAGCCAATGAAGCATCTCATCCAGCTCCTGCCCTGGCAGAAAACCAGCCCTGGGGCTATGTGAGGTTGGCTTTGATGGGGTTTTGGGGGGCAGCTTTCTGCGGGAGATGATTGTGAGGCTGGGTTTGGGTGATGCCAGAAGGGTAAGCCGGTCTCTCCACTGCCAGGATGCTCACCGACCCCCTATGACTACCCCACGCCAGAGTCTTCCAGCCGCAGCTCTGCCACTGATGATTTCTGCTACGTCTTCGTGGTGGAGCTGGAGAGAGGACCCATTGGGCTGGGGATGGGGCTGATCGACGGCTTGGTGAGTTCTCACCGATCGTGGGACAGGGCTGATGCTCCTCCAAATAGCTGGAGCGGGACATGTGGGACATGTTTTATACCCCAAGAAAAAACAGCAAAGAAGCTAATGGCTTTGCACGGGAGCTAGGCTGCTTCTCCTGGGGAAAATGAGACACAGAGTGATTTATCGGGAGGAGCAGATCTCTGGTCCTGGGTGGCTGTGCCATGCACGCAAAGTCCATCACAGCTGTCCTGCAGCTGGAGAGAGCAAACGGGCTCAGCGCTCTTGTAGAAGGAAAATGACTCAGCCAAGGTCTTTCCTCCACCCTTCAGCGGGTGGCAAGGCAAGCGGAGGGGAGCAGAGAGGCTCGTGGGGTGCCAGAACAGAACTCATTGCATAAGGTGGCGTTGCAATCTGGCTTAGGGCAGTGGATCATCTTACTAAGTGGCCTTTCACGGCAGTGCATTAGTCAGTAGGAAACAGGGCATCACTGAGCCCCTGGGACAGCTGTGAGTAAAGAGCTCCAATCCCAAGACAGCTGCAGGTTAACAATGCTTTGGTCTTAATTAAATTGAACAAGAAAATATTGCCCCCACCTCTCCTTTCTGTGTATAAATTGATATAAAACTGAAGGCTCGCATTTCCTTCCTGTTACTGTTAGTGACACCGTCCCCAGCAACCATCCATCAAGTTCCCCAGAGCCTTCAGGGTCCCACCTGGCATCAGGCACCCGCTTGGCTGTGAGCCATGGGGGAGAGTCACCCTGTTTGGGGAGCTCAGCCCTTTGGGACCACAAATCTTTCGTGTCCCTTCTACCCTGGCTGGTCACTTACTGCCTTTCCCTGCCAACAGCACACTCCTCTCTGCTCCCCGGGGATCTACATCCGTACCCTCATTGAGGACAGCCCTGCGGCCACCGACGGCAGGCTCTCCATCGGGGACCGCATCCTGGCTGTCAACGGCACCAGTCTCATCGGGGCAGACTACCAAAGGTGAGTTGCATCCCGCCGGAGGGCCCGGTCCAGTATTGGCACCGTGGGAGTTACTGCTTAAATCCAGGTTTTCAGCTGTTTTGCTGCAAAGAACTGAACGGGGTCTCTGAGTGCCTGGTGCTACGGTCCTGGCCAACAACACAGAGCATGCTGCGGTATGGGCAGGCTGCAGAGAGAGGAGCGACCTGCCCAGGACACTGGAAAGGGGGCAAGGCATCTGGGTGCAGGGGTTTGGAAGAGGGATCAGGAGCCTATTTGGGAAACAAATGCGAGCTCCAGAGGTGGATCTCAGCAATGCGGAGTTGCTCCCCCTGCCTCGAAGGCAGCGGGATGGGGCAGCTCGCACCCTGCCTGCCTGTCTGAGGCAGAGCCCAAGGTGCCCACGGGGCAGAGCAGCTCAGGGCTCATTCCCCTTTGTCCTGGCAGCACTTGTGTGGAGGCCAGGCTCTCTGTAAAGCTACACGCAGCAGAGAAACAGACTCTGCTGGTAGCACTGAGCAGGCACAGAGCAGAGGGTGCAGGTGTTTTGCAGATGCTGGGTGTTTTGCAAATGTCCGTGACCTGGCAGGCTCCTGGGGGGGGGCTGCCAGCCTGCAGGGAGCCAGAATTCACCTCTTTCCCTGTTGCTGCTCTCTGCAGTGCGGTGGACCTCATTCGCTCTGGAGGGAAAAAGCTGCGGTTTCTAGTTGCCAAGTCGGACATGGAAATAGCCAAAAAAATCAGTTCCAGCTCCTCTTCCTCCTAGTCCTTGTGGTACAAGGGTACTTCTGCAGCAGCTTGCGGGTGGAGCTCTGGTTAAGGCTGACCTCGGGGAGCCTGGAATGCGAGAGGGAGGACCAAGACTCCACAACTGCCCTTGATTTGCTTTTCGACACCTTGCCCCTGCACCGCAGCAGATGCAAGGATACGCAAGGGTGGTGCACGCTTCTCCCACTGGGAGCATCATTCCTGATCCATTGCCCGTCCTCACCTTATACCCTGTGTCATCCTTCTTAGGAGCCTTCCTGGTCCTTTGTCCCCTCTGGCAGGGGGCAGGAAGGGGGTGCTCCCCCCCATGGGGGCTGTAGGCAGGCTCTTCTGGTCCTCTAGGCTGGCAGCCCTGCGTGATCTTTCATGCTGGTAGGCAGAAGGCTTGAAACACCTTTGGGATTTAAAGATTAGCATGTGGGGCAGGCCTCGGCTTTGCTGTGGCAGTGGCCACCTGAGGTGCTGGCGCGTCAGGCTGGAAAACAGTGCCCCGCTCTGGGGGTGGTAAAGGCAGCACAAGCACCCAGGAGCGGGATTCCAAGCAGGATGCATTGCTAGGAGTTACGTTCCCTGGTGCCATACCCTAAGTCACGTGCCTTTGTGCTGCTGGGCTACAATCACACTGTCCCCAGCCCTGCTTCAGGGTGGGAAGCAGCTACAGCAAAGGGCTGACACCACCAGCAGTTCCCCTGAGTCCTGGGGAGAGCCCCTTGAAGAAAAGGACTCTCTCGCCCTTGCTCATGCAGCTTTATTGCCCAGCTCTGGCACCACAATCCTGGCAGAAGGCCCCCAGGACTGACCCAGCAGCGTGGGGCATTCGCAGCAGAAAATTTCCCCACGCGGGGAGCTGTTGCCCTCTCCAAGGGGCTACGGCCAGGTTAGTGCTTCTGTGCATGCCCCTGGTCCCCGAGAGCCAGGAACGGTGGGTTTGTGCCACCAGGAACCCGAGCGAGCCCAGCAGCGTGCAGTGCCAGACCCCAGCCGTGGCTGACGCTGGCCCAGGCAGACGAACGACATCTTGGCACCATGTCCTGGTCCTCTCCCTCCGGCTTTGCCAGCCCATTGTAAGGCCGCCCTGTTCCCTGCCCAGCTCAGAGCACTTCAGAAGTGTGTGCTGCTGGCATGCCGCCGGGTGATGATGGGCAGGAAAAGGCTCCCTTTGGAAGGTCAGTCTTGAATGTCCCAGAAACAGCTCTGCTATCTGCTGACAACAGCAACGCTGTCAGCAGAGCTGAGGTGGCAGCTCCACCGTGCGGCTGGCCAGTCCCCTGCACACCCGGCCTCCTGCCTGCCAAGTCCTCCCTGTGCTTTTAGCAACATTAACGGGATAAACCCGACCTGATTTCCACATATAGACAGATACCAAGACCTAGTTTAGCTGAACCCTATTAAAACAGCCTGCCGCAAAGCCCTACATCACACCCTGCGCTTAAACCAGCATGGTCTAGGCTCTGGCAAATCAGATATTCACACGGCATCTCACAACAGTGCTCTGAGGATTGTGATGCTAAAAAGGGGATGCTTAACAGGGTTGGCCTTAATTAAACCTCACTGCTGTAGTTTTGGTTTCTGTGCTTCTTGCACTTTGCAAAAGGAGAGAGATGTCAAAATAATCCACGCAGGGGAAACACTCCACTACTGGACTTCAATGCAGCTGCCTTTTCTAGGGCAAGATGGACAAAGCACCTTCACCGAGACACTAGTGCCTTGCTTCTCTGCTAGGCCATGCTTGTGCCAACTGGCCTGGGGTGCTGCCCCAGCAGGCACTGGGAACAACGCATCCCTCCTGCCACTGACTCAGCTGTACCAGGCAGGCGAGCAAAGGCTCAGAGCCCCACCGGGCTCCTGGTGATTCACTCGACTTTAAATCAAGTAGGTATCTTGGCCTGTCATCCTCCATGGAGCTCAGCAGGTTTGTAGGGCAGGAAAAGGGCTGCCTAGAGCCCCTGGGCAAACCGCATGTACTCCTTACTCCTCTCTGCCCAGGAGCCAGGGCTTGGGGGAAGCTTGGTTTGCACTAGACAGTACTGGGGCTGCACCCTGGCAAGTTCCAGCAGTACCAATGCAACCCTCTGCTCCCCACTGAGCCTGACTCTCCAGGCACCCCTGGAGATGGGAAACAGCCCCAGAGCTGTATGTTGCTCACAGTGCAGTCAGGTATTGAAACAGACTGTAAATAAACCCTATTTACTAGTGTGCATGAGGGCTTGCTTCTCCTGGGTGGAGCAGTGGGACTTATTTACTTCCCCCATTTGTTAATACTGTACAGCTCAAATGTGTATAAACTTCTCATACAGAACACAGCATGGCGCCTGTTTGACACGGGGCTGATGTATATTAAGAAATGCTCTTGGTGTCAACAATAAACTGGATCAATAAATCTCTCTAAGCTCCTGTCTGGTAGCTGTCTCTTGGATCTTGACACATTCACTCTGATGGTAAGACAGAAAAGCAGCAAGGGCTGGCAGCAGACTTAATGGAGTCACTTCTGCTTTCTCCATCTTGCACAGGCCTTTGCTTGGCTGATCTGCTGCAAGCAGAGAGGCAATAAAAGAACCAAATGCATAGCCAGGGTGTAGCGAGGGCAAAGGGGAGGGAGAAAAAAAGTCAGAGGAGGGGAGGGAAGAAGAAGTACGTCTCCAAAGGGGCATGGTGTGCTGGGAGGGTATTAATGCATGCATTCACTCTCCTGCCACATTCACACAAATCCACTGGGATTTTCAATCCATACCGGCCACGGAGAGATAAAACAAGCTTAGGAGATGGAAATACAAACAGCCTCAGACCAGAAGAGCAGCCTCAGTTCTACTTATTCCTGTTTTCTGTCTCATTCACAATCATTTGTTCCTCATTTCCAGTTCAGAGCAGGGCCTTGGCCTTGAGTGTCAGCAGTGTCCGATGAGTTACAACAGAGGCTGGAGCCTCTCAGATACCTCATGCCCTCACCCTGGCATGAAGCCAGGTGTTGGCTCTAGGAGACGGGTGACTATCCTCAGGGCAAAAGGGAGGGAGTCATTCACCTCTCTCTGAAACCGTGTACTGGCCACGTCTACAGGCGGCGTGAACACAAACTGTGCCACGCTTGGCATTTTCAGTAGGTTCATGAGCTCAGTTGCGCGGATAAGGATCTCCTCAAGGTCCTCCTCGCAGTAAACAGAGGTGACAGCAGGGCTCTGCACAAATGTCCTCATCTTGGACAGGAACATGGACACTCTGCAGGAGAGAAGGACATGGACATCAGCTGACAGGACCTTTGCACCCAGCAAGGTCACTACTTAAGCCTGTGTACTCCAAAAGACTTTGCTGCAGGTGAACACCAGATGATACCCCAACCCCTCCTCCTAATGCAGAGCGTTAGTCAGCAGATGAATCGCACTTCCCCAAACTGTGCTCCTCCACAGCTTGCTTCCTCTGTCCTGTTTCAGTTTCCATCAGTTGCCAAGCTTGATTTTTTAACACTTGTGAACACCTGTGTTTGGACCCACGAGATCTGCACGCTTCAGCCCTTAGCCCTTCCCCACCATCCCTCCTCACCTGGGGATCAAGTCCTGACTGCGAGCTGCCAACTTGGTCAAGGTGGCCATAAGGACACTGATGGCACGAGGCGCGTAGCTGGGGATGCTGGCCAGTGGTCGGAGCTGGGTGATTTCAAATAGCACGGCCTCTAGAGTCTCAAAGAACCGGTTGATTTGCTCCACAGTGCAGCGCTTGTCATAGGACACAGACATGTACTCTCCAATAGCCCAGACCTGAAGCAAAGGCAGATGTGCTCAGAGCAAGCAGAAGGAAAGGGAATCAAATAATTTTTAGAGAATAGCAAATCAGATTAGCTAATGCTAGGACAGAGGAGAGGAGGAAAGGGAAAGTGACCAACAGATTGCACCGCAGTTGGAACAACCTGTGGCAGAAGCAGGCAGGCCCTGCTTACCATGTGGGTGAAGATAGCCTCCTTGTTCTGGATGTTGCTGACTGTTCCTGAGAACTCCAGAATCTCCGTGGACAGTTCCACGACGAGTGCAGGGCGCAGCTTGCAGAACATCACCAGCTGCGAGCTCAGCACCCTGGAGGAGAGAGATGGGCAGAGCTCAGACCACAGGCAAGGCGGTCGTCACCAAACTGAGGAGGTGCTAGCAGCATCCAGCCACAAGACTCAGGATATCTCCAGCAGGGCTGAAGGTGCAGTCCCCATTTTGTACCCTCCAAAGATGTGTCACAGCAGGGACCAGGCTACAATTGAAAAGGCTCCTGGGCTGCCCTGGGATGCCAGGCTGCAGCCAGCAGAAGGGCTGGGAGCTTGGCTGGGCCTCCTGTCCCTTCTCACCTGTACACATCATGTTTAAATGCTGGGATCTCATAAAGCTGGTCACTCCTATGCAGCAGCAGCACCACCAGCTGGTTTATCAGCGGCCCATCTGCAAACTGGAAAACAGCCCTTGTTTCAGCAATACCAGTGGTTTCCAGAAGCCAAAACCCAAACTAACCAGCCAGATAAGACAGGTGGCACAGAAACAGCCTGATCTAGCAGGAGGGCAGCAGTGCACAAAGCAGGTATCAGGCACTCATTCTGCTCTTGCCCACCTCCATTACAGCTGGCTGAGAGAACAGTGTGGAGCCTGACACTGCTCCATGGAGCTTTTCTGCTTCTCCAGATGAAGTAGCTAGCTCAGTGCTGGTTCATGCCAGTATTAGACCATCCCACCCTCCCCTCATGCGTCCCTCTGTTGAAGCTGCAGCATCTTAACAATTTTGCTTCTACAGCTGCTCTTCACATAATGAGAGATCCCCATGGCACGACTGGGAGCCAAATTCCCCTAGGAGGGCCTACCTCTGCCACCACCCTGAAAAAGAGCTCCAATAAGACAGGGACAGTCTCTGCACATTGCACGACTCTTGGGCTGCTGGCCAGGGATCCCAGCAGCTGCCGTAGTGGAATCAGCCTGTGGGCAACAGAAGAGTTACTGTTGAAGGCTTGTTCCCAGCTACTCTCCTGGCTGCCCT